TTATAGTTGATATAAACAATTTTTATAACTGAAAAACTTCTCGTTTGAATTTTGAATTGGTACCTACACAAAAATGTAAAAGAAACTATTCACTTAATAATTTACAGAAGAAGATTCTCGTTTGAAAAATTGGGATTGCCATAAAACACTACTAAAGTAGTACAAAAAATATCAAAAATTATAAAATTTGGATTTAAAATAAGTATATTTGAAAATTCTAAAAATCAGAATTTGAAAAATGCATTATTAAACTATATCTATGTATTGTATATACAGTAAAACTTGTACATATCGAACGGTACACAAAACTTGTGTTACACTCTATATAGATGTAGATATGTGTACATTACATATGTATAGATGTTCGAATGCGTCGGCAGTGGTATGGAAAATATTCCTATGGGATTTGTCACCACCTCTACACATATTATAATGTATCTTTGAACATTATTAGTTATATTATTATCACAGTATATAAAATATATGGCGATGGTCTTTAAAAATGATTTTTTGGGCTAATAGTCGATTTTTATATAGGTGCACATTATATATGACTACAAGATAAATACGACAAAATTCTATGGTATTCGCTTTTTTATTATTTTGTTTAACAGGTAAGCTATACGCATGATATAATTATGTTGGATTTTTTGAATGTAGCTTTATTATTTTGTTTTATTCAAATTATGTCATATAGGTTCAGAAACCATGTTTGGTCGTGAATTAAAAAACTCTACTTCGAAAAAAAAAATTGCTTTATGACCTTTGTTTAATTTAATCAAAATTGGTGATATTATTTATTTAATGGACAATAAATGTGTGATTTCAAATACGGTAATAATAAAAACAACAGTATTCACTAATTAATAATTAATAAGGTACATTAACAAATTTAATTAATGGCTTAGCAATATACCAAAACAAATAAAATAGAAGAAAGAACAATAAAAAGGTATGTTTAAAAAGATAGTCAATGGTTATTTGTTATATATATATAAACGTAAATATGAAGACATTAACAATAAAATCTAAAATGTGAAAAAAGAAAAAGAGGGATTATAATAACTTACTTAAAAATGTAGATTAATATTTTATTAACATCAAGGTTATTAGTTATTTCTGCGTACTATTAAAATATTAATGGGTGATTTCACATGTAGAGTAGTATTTTTTAAAACCTTTAGTTGTTTAATCATATTATTTGCATTACTAATTATTTAATAATATTTTTTGATCGTTTTCTATAAACTTTTAGGCCGGATAACTTTCACTTTTAATGATGCGTTATAAAATTAATTAAATTAAAACTTATTAAATGCACTGCAGACGTTATTATACAGCCGACTCGTTTAATATATTTCCGGAATCATTAGTAGTTAATATTTTTGAAGAGCCACTTAGTGAATTCAGGTGGAAGTCATAAAAATGTAGTGCTTATATTTATGGTTTATTCAAAAACAGTTGAGGAGAAATCAAAAAATTAAAATTAAGTTTAAAAAAAACTTCATATTTTAATACACCAATAAAGTTATTATTTAAAAAAAAAAAAATCGTGTCTGTAGACTTGCATATAAAATTTAACCATTGTTAACTATTTAGGCTACTGTGTTGTTTTTTGAACTCCGGTTTTCAACATCATATTTAATATGATTATAACTTGAAAGTTTTAAAGGCTAATCCATAAAAGTAATAACGTCCATAGACTTACTACTGCAAAAAGTGAATAATATATAGAAAGGTATCGTGCTGTACTACCATATAATATAATATTAAGTATCATATTATAATATAGTACCAAGCTAATTGTTCTATTGAATTATATATAAAACTCAATATATCGTAACAGGATTACGACCAACCTACTCGGTCGTTAATTATAACTTATTCTGCGAATTCTGTCTGACTGTCTGCAAAGCATACACATATACGTATATAAACATATGTTATACACCATTTAAGGACTGCAGGGCTAATTTTGAGTGATGATACCTCATACTATACATTTAATATTTATTATTATTACTGAGAATATTACGAACTCTCTACAACAGGAGAGAGCATTGTCCAACTCAATTGAATTAGCGCGACGGTCAAACGCTGCAGGTCGACTGTAAAGATGACCTGCATTTAGACCTGCAACTATAAATTGGAAATGATTGGGTTTCAAAGGCCAGCCACGATGTACGCAGAAAATAGTCGGTCCAAACTGCAGCGGCCTTCGTTAATAACCAGATTGAATTAAATGTCAATAATGTTACTATCTTTAGTTTGAGAAGACTCTGCAGTATCATTATTTGTTTATAGTATACAATAATCAATATTAGTTATATAATATAAATTACATTAACCCGACAAAATATCTTTAATTAAATTACCCCCGAAAAATATCTCATAGCATTGTTTTAATGGTGGATACATTGGGGCGATCATACGTTTGCTTTTAAAAAAACACAGTTTTATTATGATAATAAATTATGATTTTATTAACATTTTTTTTTTTTTTTACTTTGTGAAGTATATTTAATTTTAACTTAAGATTTATAATATTAATTATTAAATGTTAATGATAAATAAATATTATTATAATAAATGTATTAATGAAATTATTATTAATATCGACTAATTGAACTTACATTGAATCTGTAGTGGGCGTATAACATAATAATTTTATGTAGGGAGGGAGCAGTACAATTATATTGCTTAACTCTAAAGTCGAGTAAAACGCAATAGTTGAAACAGTAGCACATAAAATATTATGATTCATGATAGTTTATCGTGAGAACAAAATGATAGATAGACGATAGTTACCGTCATTTTAATTTTTATTAAATATTAAATTAATTGTATTATCTATTAATATAATATATAATTTTTCCTTATATTTTAAACTCAATAATCAATAATGTATAGTTAATTTAACTTATTTATGTGTAAGGCAAAACAAAGGTCTCTAAATTTCAGGAACTCGAGTCTCGTTTAAAATAATTTTTTCATACACTAACCGTATTTTTTAGAGCATTATAAATACCTTAACATATCAATTTTTTTTTTTTTTGTATGCCAACTCTATTTCTCCTATACAAAATATAACTACAAATAGTAATTACTTAAATCGTTATTCTTGATCCATTACTGCCATTACTGATGATGGTGCAACAGCAAATGTCGACAATCCTATTTTCGCGGTTGTTTTACGATGTCGTATTATAATAATAATAATAACTATTCTGTAATGGACTCTCTATGTACGTCTCTATGAATATTATGATAACGATTTATTATTTTTCTGCTAGTTCTGGGGTTTTTTTTTTAATTGTTTTTTCATGTCAAAACTAAATTCGATTATACTATTGGCGGTATATACTAAGCGGGTTACGACTTGAATTATTTATGCGATTTTTGTAATATTATTTTTTGTGACCTGCACTTCTACTGTAGCAATTTTAATTTACGTACAATTACTACAGTAACTCGATTACAGAATATGCGGTGGAAATAAAAACTAATTAATGAACGTACTGTTGAAGCGAGTATGACTTGTATAAAATATACTTACCTGTATGGTATACGTAAATGTGTAACATTCATTCAAATAGATTATAACAACAGCTAGTTTATCATATAACACGATTTTAAAAATTAGAATCGTTTAAAAAATAAAGCATAACGATTGTCGATTACGAATAGTCTATAACATAATGTAGTATACTTTTGACAATTGTATTTAGTAGGTATATTCATATTTGCAAGTTTTAATAACTATAATGATCGTCAAAGTGTTAGATTGACATGTTGATAGTGGCCCCCTATTCCCGAAACAGTATCTATATTCTATGTATGTCTGAGTTATATTTAAACATAAAATATTATATAGATTATCGTCGTATTTTCATGAAACACAATACAATACAGTAAAAAATAATCTATATATATGTACCCATTTATAGGGCTGCATACGAACTGAGTCCCAGTATAACCTTTTATGATGAATTAAGTCCCGGGTGTTTTAGGGTATATACCAATTGAGTCCAGTGAAATTTTAGGTATAATACTAATTGAGTCCATGTTTTAATACTAACTGAGTCCCGTCAATTTAAAAAAAAAAACATTATGTTATATTATATTATTATCATCACGACGATAGTGATTGTAGTATCATTTATCATAATATCAATTGTTTTGTTAACACTTCGTCATTGGTGATAATATAACTTTTCACGTGTTTGTGATATTATATTTTTCTTCTACACGTTTAAATACGACTCAGATATTTATGTCTTGTATGGTCACCTCTCCTTAGGCAGTTCTCAAAGATTATTAGTATTTATTCTTTCGGTGGTGTAGTCATCGAGGCCGACCACTTAACCGTAGGAGTCTCGTGGTTAAACAAATATAAACGAAACGTATATATACGTATATCCATTTTAACGAGCATAACGGCTGTGCGGCATAATTTCCGCTTTGCCTGGACTTAAGGCGGTTGATTTTATATTTTACTCAAAATAATCCTGGGACTCAATTCGTATACTATTAGTTTCCTAACCTCGGACTCAATTAGTATATGTCCTGTTTGTACCTGGGACTCAATTAGTATATAGAGATTTATAGAGTGTTAATCAATGATATAGTAAGTATATGGAATAACAAGAAGATTTATTAAATAAATGCACATGTTTTCCAACACGATATATAATAATAATATATAGTAGTAACTTTATTGCAATAAAATCATATTTTGTTGTTCTACAATTGTTTTGTTGTATGCATACATCAAAATTATTCAGTGTATATAGGTTAGGTATACTAGTCGGCTACGCGCGTTGCAAGTACGGTAACCACAAATACATAATGTTTTATTCTTAGAATTATAATACCTTAAAGACTTAAAAGAATATAATAATATGGTAAATCTATGTATAGGTAAATAATATAGGTATTAAATATATCATTAATTATATTTAATTGGTAACTAGCCTAAGTCGGCTTTAATATGTAATATATTCGCTATAAAATAAATTATTAGGCATAAGAGACTTTAAAATTATGTACAATATTTGATAAAATAAATTAAGAAAACTCTAGAGTATACCTGTACAAATTCAGATAATACGTTTACAAGGCGTGCATATTATATGTATAAAATCGTGCGCACGATATTACTGCTACGCGTGTATACACGCGAATATCTATATGTATTATTTATGAATTTTTCGATGTAATATTCGAAACGTGTATATATATATATAATATAATATAGTCGGTTTACATCGATTTGTACAGATATAACGTAATGTGCGTATAATATTATTATTCTTAATTTGTAGAGATCTCGCATTGACAAGTATATATTTGCTATCCGTTGCCGGGTGAAACGCGTAGGAAATTCAATCTACTTGCAGTGTGTTTTGTTATTGGATCTCATCATCATTACCAGAAACTGAAAATATTCTGGCCTTGTGGTCGTTCTGCAAAATAAACAATAACATTGTAGTATGATCCTATTATCCTAATATATGCATATATTTTTATTATAATATTAGTGATATGACATATTATCGTAGTAGATTTTGCTAACATCCCAACTGATCCAGAAGATCGATGATAAGAACGAATTATAGGATGATTGTGTGGTGGAAAGAGAAACATCTCACTACTCGGCAGTAATATTAGTCTTTCAGTAAGCACTTCTTCGGTAATCTCAAAAACTACTCGCTCTCGTGTATTTTTTAAAAGATCCTCATTAATTATAGACTCGAAAATCAATAAAATAACCATAACTCAACCGCGTTTGTATATAATTATTATATTATTAAGGTGATCAAGTGAAAAATAGTCATATTATACATATAGTATCAACGCGTCATAACTTGTAATCATTATACATATTATTTGGCCATAGAATCTAGTGAATATAGTTTCACAGGGGCAACGTATAATAATAATAATGATAATATTCGGCTTTGAAGTGTCCCGGCAGTATTCGTATAACCCGAACATTAATATCCGGCACGAACGAGCTCCTCTCGCTGTGTCCTATATATACGCGTATACTTGTAATAATAATAATATGTAACGTGGGCGCAGCATCTCACGACTCGGTCGTCTTCATTAGCGCTTGCCTATCGTGTCTCCCGCAGCCCGCTGCGTGTTTCACAAAGGGGTTGTTTCCGGTAAAGGGCGGACGTGGGATCCGCGCTGCGCCCGGTCCGAAACCGTTCGTCTTATACATTCAATAATATCCGCAAAAGACGACTTTTCGGCTGCCACTGTACATATATATATATATATATATATATATTTATATATATTATATTATATACGTAGTATATTCCGGCAGCAGTTTCTGCGGTCGGACATATTATTGCTGCGATCGCGCCCTTTGAGTTCGGGTCTCTTATCCAAATTAACCTCTCGTCACGGGCCTTTTCCCCGTCCACCCCCACAACGATACCTTCGCGCCCTTAAACACCGGCGGCTACCGAAAGCTCTCTGTGTGTTGTACCACTGCAGCAACATTCCACATCGTATAACGTATATTTATATAATATATAATTACTGCACCGACCCCATCGTCTTCGACGGAGTCAATAGAGCACAACAGTCACCGCGTAAAGTGTACCTTATATACTTGTATATATATTATACTACAAGCGTAATACTCCCGTTGTGCAGTCGAAACTATCCGAACAATTCGCGAGCACTAATAATCCTCTTGGGATGTTTGTTACAAATACGCGATTTATATACATTATATAATGGACCGCAGTGAACCGTATTTCTATATTCATAATAGCTATGAATGTCGGCGATGACCGTTTGTGACCGTCAAAAACAACACATCGCAGGAGCGCATAATACATAATTAGGCGCAACGTATCGACAATATGCGAGCAAGGGTCATCTGCTATTCGTCACATATTCAGAGAATGCGTACTAAGTTTTCCGGCGGCAGTCAACTCTCCGAAAGCTATTGAAAAGGTTTGAACTTGCAACAGCCATTACGTTATACTAGTCGAATAAGAACGAATCGATTTAATTTCGGATCCGTCGGGATAAAATCTGTCGCGGTCTCTCGGACTTTGAAGCACGATCTTCGCAAGCCTTGGACGGAATTCGACCGCGCGCGACCCAAAATCCATTCTCCTGATATGCGACTATTTTATGCCTACTCACGCGACCCGCAGTCTATTTCATTGTCGATATATTACAACGATATAGTGATAATAATATATTACGGCCGGAAAACTCGAGAAAGTCCTTTCGATTTGAAAACGCACGGATTTTCACAACGACAATAATGGTCAGTTGGAAAAAATTACACAACTATTCGCGGTGACGACATACGCCATTATTGCGTCAACGCAAATTTGCTATACACGCATATTAAGCACATACTTGTAGATTATTATTATTGTGTGCGCGTGTTTAGTTGGGTTTATAACCGATGGACAAGTTTTCGAGTAAATTTTGCCTATTATTGATCGATTAAAACACGATTAATATGTATCAAAACATCAATACGACGATGAGCCAAGTGTGTAATAACTAATGACCAATGAGTATTGAGTAGGTAATAATAGTGTATATTATAAGTACTAATATTTTATATTATTGAAAATACTTACGTTTGTTGCCACCAGGTGGTACAAATCCGAATCCGGAAGCTCCCACTATTACGCCGCTGGTCTCGGAACCGGGTTGTGTTGCTGGGAACAAAACTGGACCTATTGTTTATTTTTCCGGAAGAGGGGAAAAAGTTTTAAAAAAAAAGTAATCGTTATTTCGAAAAGATTGGTCACATATACAATTTTATTTTTGCCAAAATTCACCTCGGTTTTCTCTAGGGTCTCGATTGCCGGACTGTTCGACGTTGGACAGGAAATCGCCAAAGTCGAATTGAGCTGATGCAATCATAATGTGGCACAGGACGACGCACAGGACGATCAATACCTGTTGACGAAAGAAAATGTCGTAAAATCATAAAATTATATATTCATTTTATAAATTGTTGTATATTAGAATATTATATAAATAACCTAAAATGATTTATCTATATAACACGGCCCCGTTTAATCCAACCATAAGATTGTATATTTTTAAATACGTTGGTAAATAAATGACCGAAAATAGAAATAATCGTTTATTAGTCAAAACTAAAAATACATATTATACGTATTATCATATATTATATTATATTTGGAATCTTCATCATTACGAGCTGAATATAGGCGAAATGCTTTCGGGTCATAACAACAGCTTTATACGAGTTAACAGTTATAATATTATGCAGACTAGAATAATGTTAACGATTATAACTCGGGCGCAATAAATTCATTCTACCAGAAATCGACCAAAACGTGTTTTTTTTTGAAAGGTCACGTAAAGAAACACTTAAAATATAATACTATCACGTTGTTCGTTATTTCAGCGTACAACAATATTACAAATGTCTTATGACCATTTAACCTTATTACGGTGACGGAATTCACGGATGGCCTGAGGAAGATTCACCGAACCATGAAATAATATATATTCGCTGTTTATTATACAATAATAATTATTTATGAGTAATGAACGATACTTTTATTTGAATCTTCAAATCTTTTGATACTATTAGTACATCGAATATAGAAATTTGCATTTTTTGTCCCCGTCTTACAAGCGCATAGCATAGCAGCTTAGTTTCATTTGTACATATTTATATTATTCGTAAATTTACCATTTAAGTTATTTGCTCAACGTCATAATATTTCTATGTTATATAATAACGAACATTGTTTGTGGAAATCAAAAGTTAATAAACAAATATTTTCTTATAAAAATGTGTGTAATGAAGTATGTATCGATTTGAGGTGTATTAAAATTAAAGTTATCGATACCACTGATATCTAATTACTATATCGACGTATTCTTAATGATCTTATAGATACATATTATACAATTATTGTTATTAGGCGAGAAGTTGTTTCTGTCAGTTTTCGGAAAAGTACAATATTATACCATTACAAATTGCAATACAACAATTGTGTCATTCGGTTGTCGTCATTTCATTACTATGATAGCAGTGCGCACACAAAAGTAAGTCCTGCGCACCTACCTTCTTATATTTACATGCCTACAACCTGCACCTTATAGCTTATAAATACGCGATACGCATAGCCATAATAATTTAACAATAAATATGACTCGTGCACTATTATTGCATCCGCGTACACATTGCAATCAGCATAATTTAATGATATAATCGTTAATAAATTAATGTATGTATGTGTGTGTATGTGTGCGTACTGTTCTTAGTAGTCGTCATCGTCGCTATAAACTTGTACGAGTGGCAAGTAGAGCGCGTAGGTATTGCGGAGCTCAAGTGTTGTGTGCAAATCGACGGAATCCGACGTAAATTTATGCGTAACGATTTTCGCTCCGTGTCCATTTTTATTTCGATTTTTTTTCCTCGCCGCGTATTACGACTATTACAATAATATTTATAGCGCCGTGGACGCGATATGTACTTACATATATATTGTATATAATATAAACCGCGTGTTTCAGAGGCGTTACCGCGATCTTGTTAACAGCGACCGACTGGGGTGTATACCGAGCTATAACGGCCGACGCGGAGGTATATTACATTTTATATATATTACAATACCGTGTCGACGAGAATATATATGTATAAATGTGGCGTTTAGGTGTCTCTCGGACGAACGTTTACAATTTTTAATAAAAGGCTGCTCCCACGCGTAAAATGTCTGTGGCACCCATGATAAATGGATGACGACAAAAACGATACGCTCAGAGAAATACGAACAAAGCACGTACATGCAAAACTAACAGATTTGTATTGGAGTGCAGGAATTATTATTATTGTATCAACACGTATATCGATATGTCGTTAAATATATAATATATATATATAAATGAGTTCTTACTTTGTTAGATTCATTTGATCGAGATTAATTTCAAATTAAGAAAATTAAATTTTATAACTTATAGGTAAGTTATAAATTACTTTTATTGATTGCTTGATAAAATTATATCGTTTTTTTATTTCAAATTATTAACACTCTAAGTATTTCAAACAAGAAAAAAAGTCGTTGGTATGCTTGCATCATCTGCATTCAAAAAAATAGTATTTATATAATATATTATACACTGGGTTACCAAAATCTCATTATACTCATTATATTTAATCCCATTTTAAACCCATAATATATTTGATCACATTAAAAGTATACTTTCTAAAAGCTTATTCGAACACTGTTAAAACTGTAAACAATCATGTATAAAATTATACAGGGCAATTAAGATAAATTCAAAAATTTGACCGACTTAAAAATTCAAAATTAATCGTGGGAGGATATGTCATTATCATGTTCAATCGCCCGTTATATCGTGTATGGGTGCACCGCGCATGTTACTGCGCGGGCAACTATTATATTATTATTATGTTTCTATACATATCATAGTCAGTGTACGACTATTGATTTCCGCGGATCATGGTTTTAACCACGTGAACATTATGTACGTTGTGCAAGATACACGACTCCGCAAGTCGTCCAAGAACCACGGACGAACGTGCGTCCGCCGAAGCGCATCGCCAACTTCGCGTCTACCTCCTGGAAATTCATACATCTTATTATTTAATATAACAGCTCGACGATTTCACGCGACTGGGTAATCGTGAAATATTCGTGTACATGAAATCGAATAGACAGACACGCGTTGTGTTTGGCGTTAAAATCGTACGATATAAGTATTTAATATAATTTATCATAGTGATATGTGTTAAATATATAATTATGTTGGTGACCTACACGATGTGTACACACATTAAACGGACCACTGAGATGGCGTTGTATATCATAATATTTAAATGTGTACACAGATCATTATTTTTGTATACGATTCACGCCGGAAAGGGGGAAAATGAGCGCACAAATTTCGGGGTCGTCAAGAGGTGTAAAGCGATAAAAATCGTCGGTTAAGTCTCGGGTCGCGCATATCATTATCATTGCACACAGTTAGAAATCTGTAGTTAATTCTACACGCGTTGGTGTCAATGTTATACACAATTTTGTATAGATTTCGAGTTGAAACAAGCTGGGTGTTGATTTCACACTAAGCGATACAGATAAATAATCATTATCCGTTGTTGTAGTGTAAAACTGATAATGGTTAGTGATTAATTTTATTCAATATACCAGTTGGTTTTGAAATATCTCAGTACTGTGTTTATATCCTAACAAATACAACTATGTCGAAATAACTAGTGGTCTTCTTAAAAGTATTCAATATGCTGTTATTAAAAAACCCTTAAAAAAAAAAAATAAATAAAAAAATACGATTTCACAAATTTTCTACTCGGCGGGAATCAATCTCGGTACCTACGAATATGTTACCTAACGCTTAAATCTATAAATAGCTTATCAACTATCAACTATCAACTATCAACTACTTGTTTCTTTTCACTACTTATTAAACAAATTATTTAAAATCGATAAATTACAGATGTATAACTATGATACATTTGAGCAATAATTTATTTTTGTACGCCCAAGTCGGAGCCCTAAATGAATGGTAACTAACCATTTTTGTTATTTTTGTACGTAAAATAAAATTATATTTTTGAGTTTTTTTTTTTTATTTGTAGGTCTCGAGACGTTTAAACAAACTAATAACAATATCATAAACTCCCGTTCAATTATTATAAGATAAAATGTGTCGATTGCTGCAGTGAATCTCGACGGGAAAAATCGTCTAAAACACGATACGCAGCAGCGTTTACTTATAGAAAACTGGTCACATAATAGTACGCATTTCCCGTCGTCTTACGCTTCCTATTTATAATAATATATATTATATTAAACTCTGCAGCAACAGTAGTAATCCGAATCGAAAACGTATCGTTAATGGTTAGTTTGTCGCCAAAAACGAAAGTAGAAAATACCGAGTATTATTATTCGTACATTAATAACGAGTATTTATACGCGCGCGCACACACGGCTCATATTCGTGATTTGTATTATATGCACGCAGGTTTTATCATTAAAAACGTTCCGGATGCGGAGAGAAAAAATGCATTTGGATAATTCCAGTCGTATAATATTTAATAATAATTGATCGGATATAAAAATCCATTAGTCCGGCCTGACTTACTCGTCAGACACTGCACATATTATAATGTTTATGTTATAATAAATACTTTATAAAATCTAATCCTTCATCTGACTAAGCTATTAATTGGGCAATAATAGTGTGCACGCGTATTTGTGAATTTTTTTCTCGAAAGTAGTTCTACGGATTTTGTCGGAATTTTGTAACTATGTAAGAATTTTTGATAAAAGGAATTCATTGGTCAAGGTCTAAGGTTGATGGTAAAATGTACTTCTTTAAATAATGTTCGAAATTTGAAAAATCTAAAATAATGATATTATTTTTTTTATTACAAAAAATATAAAATATTCAGGATATATGTATTTATAAGTTGACACGAAAAATTTGATTTTAAAAGTTATGTTATTACGTAGTATTATTGTAACAGTCATTAAATACAAATAAATAAGATAAATAATTAATACATAAACCTAATAAATAATAATTATTGAGTTTATTTAAAAAGTTTTTAAATATTTTATAAAAAACAGAACTCGAGTTAACCTTGGTCACCCAAAACCGACACTGCATATAAAATTTAAATATAAATGTAGTATTTTACGGTGTAATCCTTTTAGAGTCACTTTCGCCGAATCAGAAGTAATATTTACATACGTAATAATTTAGTATAATATGTTTGTGTGCGTGTGGCGTGTGCTAACGAATTCTTTCGGAAACGGATTTGAATTTATAACAATAATAATACAATGCGTATTAAAATATCATTTTAATATTATCGACATTTATATTCCACGGCAGTAGAAATTGTTTGCGGTCGTGGTAGGTATACTGTTTTT